AAGAAATTATAGAGGCATTGAAAAGCTCATTTGTAAGGCTATAACTTTTGTGTTTGGACCCAAAGCTGAATCAATACAGAGCATAGGGAAAAACGGGTCTAAAGTTTGTGTTCAGAACTGACCAGTCTTAACGGCAGTTCTGACACCTTACATTGTTTTGGGCATAACTGGAGTTACGGAACTCGGATTTGGATGCACTTTATACCGTTTCGAGGCTGAAACAAAGATCTACAAGTTTTATGAAGACCTAAACACCCATTTCACACGTTATCAAGGTGAACTGAGCACAGTCAGAAGCAAAACCACAATCGTCACAAAATCCAACATTTTGCATAGCTATCAGTGTTTTGATCATAACTCAGGCTACACTAATCGGATTGGGCTGAAATTTTGCAGGCACAACAAGGACTTCAGAAGTTACAACTTTCATGTTTTGGGCAAACCCTGAATCAATACGTAACATAGAGAAAAATGGAGCTAAAGTTCAGATTCTGGGCTGCCCGGTTTTCCCGATTGATCGGTTTCGCGCGCCGCAAACGCATGGTCCGTTTCTGTGGTTCTCGTGCAAGCTTCGTAACCAATTGCACACATATACTAACTTCTAAATGACCTACAAATGGTCCGAAACTTTCCCTCTAATTCATCATAAAATTACCAAACACTAACCATAATCCCTAACCTCACTTCCGATTTTATATCCCCTACTAGACATGTTAACCACATTTACTGATTTACAAAGGACCTTGTACAGAGCGTAAAGGATTTTACAGCTCACTTAGAGGAAAAGGCTAATCAATCCTTCCTTCCTCTCTCAGCTATTAGGTAGGTAACAACACAATTCATAGTTTCCTTCCTAATTTCATCCAGTTAACTCCAACTTATTATACCAATACAATGATTAAACTACAGAGTATCATCAAATATTATATATGAAAGTTCACAGAATTGAAATTGAAAGAAAAACTGATCCTACGTTCATTCTCTTCCTCTTGGCTATCTCTCTCTCTCTCTCTCAACAGATTGCATCAGCTTTCTTCATTTAATTCCACATGCAAGAGTTGGTTATCAAGCTGCAGAGTACTATCAGCAGGAGCACAAGATTACAGCCAAGGAAAATCAGAAGCAACACTGGTTCAACTCCTAATCTCCCTCTCTCGGCATAACTTCAGAATTTTTAGCAGCAATCAACTTAACCCAAATTTTCTCCAATAATCTCTTCAGTTCATGTTCAAATCCTTCATGCATGTTCAGACCAAGCTAATATATAATATATATTGCAGTTTAACATAGAAATTCAAGGTCAAAATCATGAAGACAGCTAGAAATCTGTCCATTTTTCCCCCTCTCGGTTAACCTAGAAAAATTTCCAGTAGATAACTTTCCTCGGTTTCAATCCAAAAATCTAACTTTTCCCATAGTTTCTTCAACTAAACCCCTTATAAACCTGAGATAACCATAGTTCTTGCATTTCTCACATTAGTTTCCAATTTTACACTAATTACAGGCTGCAACATTAGATAATAAACTCCCGTTCCTGCACTTCAGTCTAGTTCCAAAATTTTCCCTCTCTAATAGATTTTCCTTCAGTTGAAACTCATTATTCCTTGCTAAAACTAACATGCATCCTATATATTCACTGGTATTTAGTAAATAAAAGGGTTGCTACAGAAATTTCTTTACCTCTTTTCCTTTAAAACACAGTAATTGTGGACTGCTCCAATTCCTAGCTTCGTTTTCCTCGACTGCAACTGCTTGCCCTCTTTCTCTCGGTGGAAACTGATCAGAAATGGAACTAGCATAGTTTCTCTTCCTATCACTAGCTTAGCTCTCGGCTTTAGTGTTAAGAAGGAAGAAAAAATAGTTGGTTCTCTGTTTCTCTCGGTTGTTGCTGTCCAAGGAAAAAAAATGCAGAGTTCTCTCTCTCACTCTCTCGGTTGGTACTCCAAATGAGCTGATCACTCACTTCCTCTTCAGTCGGTGGTGATAATTCCAAAGCTCTCCACTTAGCTTCTACTTAGTTCTAGAACTCAGGTATCCGACTGGTTGCACGGTAAATTAGCTAGGATGAAGTGTTAGTTAGATCATTTGATATCCACTTATTTGCTTACTAAGGGCTGTGGTTTTATTAACTCACACATTAACTCCTAACCTCATTTGTATTTCCTTAATCCATTAGATTCTCACATATTTAGTTTTATAGGAAATTAACTAGACATGTAGCTCGTTCAACTATAATATCTTTAAATCACACAAATTATGGTATGCATATCATATATTTATTTGATTCATATAATTTTTTTAATTTTAATTTATTTTATTATTATTTTTGACATCATTCTAGGATATTTCTAAATTCTCAATTTATAGAATCATTAAATTTAGTCATTTAATTTGACCAATTATTTGTTATCTATAATATTTCAAATGACGAAATAAGGGTAATAATGACTAAGTCTATTCAAGATTTTCTCGAGTTATCACAATAATGATATGATTTAAGTAAAGTTCATGCTAAAATGATAAAATTAAATAACATGCCAATGCAAATGATTTAAAATAGATGAAATTAAGAATAAAAGTGCGAGTTCTCACACTAACAAAAATTGCTATCAACACCTATAGAATTCCTCCAAAAACTATGGACCGTTCCATCAATCAGTCAAATGAAGACAAGGATCTTGAAATTATTAAGGAACTATAGATGGTAACAAACATCATTCAATTTCATCCAAATGTCTGAAGAGCTCTTGCCAATGAATTGCAACTTCTTCGGGTGACTGAAAGGACCATATATGATTATTGGCCTAATTGTGTTTCTCTAGGATTTCCTCTAAGCTTGGAAAATCTCTTGGTTTTGAGGTTTAAATAATCAAATAGAGCATTCCCCTTTGTGGAACAATTATCCATCCAGCCCATCCAATAGTATTGGTACATCTGATGTATACGTGATTAGCAAAACCAGAGAGCATCAAACTAGGTGGAGCATGATAGTTTTTAGCATGGTGCTGCAGTGTCGACTATCCCCAAGCTCATAATCACTTAATGAGTTCATAAAAACAAAAATGATGTTACAGTTTTTAGGCACATTGCAAATCATGTGAGTGTAATTTTACTATAACCAATGATTACTTATTTTCACAAGTTTGTTATATTCACATTTGCTAGCTTAAGAACGTAGATTTTCCCAATGAAACAATTTTTTTTGAAAAATCTAATGGAGTATAGTACTCTTCTTTGTCTCCTCTACAATAATCCGACAAGTCGGACATAAGACAAGCAAAATATCACCATTCCCAAGTGAAGTATGGTAGTTAAGCTTATAGAGTCATTTAACAATGATCAAAGGTACTAGGTAACATAAAATGCACGATATGTGTTAGAAATAATAGAGAACATGCCCAGTTAAACCTACAAAGTTATAGAATAAAAAAATATTGAATAATAATCTGTATAGGTAGCTAAATGTAAATATTCATTGATAAGAGAAAAGAAATTACTACTACCTCATAGCTGTAGAAGTCAACATAACCTATCGGTTTAACATTTCATAGAAAATTACTAAGTGTAATGTTCTTTTAATTGCAATTTGGCTAAGTTCAACTGGGCATGTTCTTTATTATGTATGCATGGATCATAAATATCCTTATATCTTGATCAGCTAAGAATTGAGTGTGGCAAACAAGTTCAGCGCTTTTATGAAGTGAAAAAAGTAAAGGATGTAAAATTGAAATATTATTCTCAAAAGCTAGCAAACTTTAGTAAACCATGAACAAGCAATGTGATTCATAAGATAAGACAAGTAGTGAACTAACGATGCTGATAGGTGCATAGCATAAGGCAGTACTGAGACAAATTTGATTAAAATACATTGCGGGTCGCCATATGCATAAGGTCATTCACAAAATGTGACTGGACCGCTATACCAAATTAATACTAATTTAACTAAGTTTAATGGTCAAATTGAAATTCCATGGGCACAACTTTTCAATTCCTTTCTTGTTGAGTATAATAACAGCAAAGAACTTTTAGGATTGTGGAACAAAAAAAAGTATCTCGCTGGCTTGAAGGTTGTGGTTGACAATGCTGCTGTTCCATTTTTATTGGAAAGACTTCTGAGCCATGCCAATTTTACAGGTTTTATATCTACTTGGAAGAACTATTGTCGGTGTTGTGTTTTCATGAAACTGAGGATCTACATATTCTAGAAGAACCTGTAGGTGAATAAACAGTATATGTTAAATAGTCTAGCAAATAATAATGATGTTAGCTTGTTTTATAGGAACTAAGAGGTGGTCTCCGCGCTACACGCGGTGGATCAATGCAATTATGCCCTAACTTGTATTGGTTATTGAGAGTTGGTGTGATGTTAGAGTAAGAAGAAGCATGTAAACTATATAGGCTGTTAAGTTTAGATTAAGATAAATATGGAATGATTAAGAAGAGAGTTGGGTGTGGAAGTGAAATAGGCTGAAATCATACAATGAAAATTGAAAGTAAGAAAGGGACAAATGTAGGAGAGTGGTATACATGATAGCTAAAAATGTTAGAATAGTCCAAGCATTAAAAGTTATAAATGGAAAAGCAGTAGAAATGGCTTGTCAGTTGTTGATGTTGATTCCGTTTATATCTAAAGCTTGATCCATAAAGTAGAAAGTGATGATTTCATAAATTGCATATGAAATGGTGGATAATGGTAAAATATATTGTGAAAAATTTGTTGGTTAGAAACGCATGCTACCATATTTCAATGTAAAATTTTTTTGGTAAAATAAAAGATAGCTATATATGAAGTCGGTGAACTAGTGCTAAGATGGATAACAAGGTAAATGTTCGTTAAAAGGAAATTGTTAGTGGATGTAAAGTTCAATTTGTAATTGATTTTTACCATTTTTTAGTATTTTTATTTATCAAACCATGTTTATTGATTAACCACAGAGACTAAAGGAAATTCATTAGTATTAATAAATAAGGATAACATAGTTTATGAATAATGTTACAGATACAAAAAGTTAATGAGTAACTATAATAATAAATTGGCTAATTATAATAATGCATATGAAATACAGGGTACCAAGGGAAAATTATAAGGATTCCCCAGTTGTACCTTAAAAGACTACTCTGAACACAAAATGGAGTAGGTGAGTTGCAGAATTTTGAAATAAATCTCTGTCTATCAATTCCAAGCATAATGCCAATACTGAGCACTTCAGACTAAAGGACATGAAGCATGAGAGAAGACCTATGGGACTCTTATAAAACTCGATTACAGAAGTTCTTACCCCATTGCACCTACACACGCTTCTCCACTTCTCAAATTCTGCTGCATGTAGTAGGTAATACTAAAAAATAGCAAAACATCATCTTTATCTCTGATATAGTTGAACTACTCTTTATAACAAGATTGAAGTATAAGATGCTACTGTGTGGCAAAAGCAAAAGATAAACATGCTAATTGCAATGCAAAAAAAAAAAAAAACTTAAAAATGAGGCAAATTGTACTTACAACTTCAAGCATCTTGAGTTTTTGCAATTACATTGCTTCTTCTTCTTTGGAGTAGCATCTCTCAGCTCAATGCTACGCTGGTCTGGCAACTTTGGAGACCAGTATTTGCTGATTGAAAAAAAAGCAAATAAATATAATAACATCACTTAGTAGTTTAGGTAAGCTCAGAACAATTTTCAAACTTTGAATTCAAACAAATCATAAGACTTCATACATTCAAAGCTTTCCAGCCTTGACGTGGTGAAAAAGGTTTAATTAGTTTACAAAGAAAGGAGCTCGTTGCTAATGTTAGAAGCACAATTTTAATATCTAGGAGTTACTTCATTTGCCTGAGATCGAACTTTCAGCATCCAAAATTACCTTATAGCACATAAAACAAAAACAAACTTTTTCTAAGATGTATTACTATATTTTACAGAAAGTCTGTTCTTTTAAGCCAAATTCTTTTAAAGCATGGAGTTTTAATTATTTAGTTGAGCTTATAAATGAGTTTTCCTTACCATATTATCCATTGCATAACTCTAAAATTTCGATCAATTTCGAAGCTTTTTCTCAATTAAAACTCCAAATTCACCAAAATTCAGCAATCATTTTGCAAACATGTTAGGAATAAGCGTGCACTTATTAGCTTTTCACATCACAAAAACTCCAAAAAGAATGAAATAATTTTGAATATAACAGAAAAGAGGCCAAATATGAATTAAAAGCTTGTCAATTTCAAAAATTGAGAATCAAACTTACTTTACTTCCTGCGAAGTCGGCCGACGAATGATATCAATAAGAACTGTGGAACAATTCTCGGACAAACTCATATCCTTTTCCAGGAGTTTAAGAAGAAACAAAAACTGCCAAAACAAAAAGTAAAAAGGGGGAAAAAAAACGAACATGTAACCTACAGCAAAAAAAAAAAAAAAAAAAAGGTTGCAGAGTATATAATAGAAGATGGCGAAGAAACAAAAAACTGGTAGAACAAAAAGCTATAAAAAGAGAGAGAGAGAATGATCAGCTAACCTGAAACAATACAAGCCGCAAATATGTAAGAGAATATGACAAAGAAAAAAAGTTCCTTACAGCAACCACTGACGAAGAAAGTTGCATCCAAACTGTAAATGGGAAATGGGGGAAAAAGTTAGAACACAAGAATAAAGAATCAAAGAAGACAGGAAATTTAAAATAGGCTTACCTTAATGCAACGGCAAAATACAAAACACCCATAAACAAAGTAAAGCTGAGTTAGTCCACGAATGACCGACCAAAAAATAGCATTATAGATGAGATAGTTCAGTAAAAGAAAAAGCTCACCTGACCAATCTGTATCAAGAAGAGCAAAACCAAGAAGAGGCTTCGAAGGAACAGAGCAATAAAAGAGAAAATAAGAACTGAGCAAAGCAACTGCCAAAGACAATCATGTAAGAGGGAAGATAGGATGTCGTGCTATAAACAATGACACAAAAAAGGAATGCAAAGAGTAAACACATCACTAACCGTTAGCATAAGCAGAAAATCCGGGCAACAATGCATGGCTTTACCGGTAGCGATGGGTTGGACAGAGCAAAGAAAGTGCTACAGGCAAGTCAAGAAACTGCTTTCAATAGCCGCCAACAGTAATGAAATTATGTTTTTTTACAAATACAACCCAAGGGTAAATAGAATTTTACCTCTTGACATGAGTACGAAGAAGATGAAGAAAACCGTAAAACCAAAACCAATTTCTTGTTATCGGTAAGAAAAATGCGATGGGAGGGCAAAATTGTAATACAATTGTCCTTATGGTCAACCGAACTGAATTATTACAATGACCACAACCAAGTCCTAATACACCTGGGAAAAGGGCAAAGACAAATGCTAAAGCGGTCCAATAGGATACAACAAAAGTGAAGGCAAATAGTTATTATAATAAAAGTAACAAATAAAAAAATGTAGCATTCTTTTAAAAAATATAATAACAACATTTCCATTCGGATTTTTTTTCTGCACAAACACGTGCAATTATCACGTGCAAGGACGACCACAAATTGTCCAATAATGTTTTGCCACGTCACAAAAAATGGAACGTCTTGGCACACCCCTACACATTTAGTACATATGTGTTAAAAAATATCTATCAAGGTGCACTTGGACTGAGGAGTAAAAACATGATAGAAAGAAATAATAGTTATCCAATCGTGTTTCAAGTTCTGATTCATAGATGAATTAATAGATATCAAATTCTTCTATTCAGTCATAGTATCTATAAACACTAAAATAAGGGATGAACTTGAGCCTAATCAATATGTATTAATTAAGCAAAAACACTTTACAAGAGAAAAATTATTACCTTCACCATCTAATTGTATGCCTGATAGCATAGGCAAAAAAAGTGTCCATAGCATCAGAATTTATGACTATGAAGTGTAGAAAACCATGGAATCATAGCTTAGCTTCCCTGTAGCCTATAAGAATATCAAGTTATTCTCGTGAATCAGATTGTCAGCACAATATGATTCATATCCTCACTCAAAGCATCTATCTATGATGTTTACTTCCCAATAGCAAATACCATAGTATATTTCAAATGTTATGCCATCTTGAAATCTAATCGTGTCAAAAACAAAGGCAATTTTCGCCTATAAGAAAGAAAAGAATATCTAAGCATTTCTTCGAGAGGTAAGATATTTGTTACTAATGTATTTACTAACTTGTTTATTTCTGCTTGAATAAAAAAAAGGGTTAAATACCAAAAACCCCCCTGTGGTTTGCCTAATATTCACTTTACCTCCCTATGGTTTGGAAACCTACAATTTGACTCCCTGTCATTTCAACTAAAGTAAAAGTCTAACGGAAAACATCTAAACTAACGTCTGAAAGGAAAATATCAAAATTACCCATCTATAAGGGTTTTGGGTTAAGTACCAAAAACCCCCCTGTGGTTTGTCAAATGTACGCTTTACCTCCCTATGGTTTGAAAATATACAATTTAACTCCCTGTCGTTTCACCTAAAGTGAAAATCTAACAGAAATTCCGTTAAATACACTTTAGTTGAAACGACAGGGAATCAAATTGTAGGTTTCCAAACCATAAGGAGGTAAAGTGAACATTAGGCAAACTACATGGGGGTTTTTGGTATTTAACCCTAAAAAAAAATGACACCATGGTCTTTCTTCCAGTATCTTCTCATGTGGAGCCATATTTATATCTATAAACAAATTGAAAGTATAAGATGCAAGAACTAATTGGACTTGTTTCTCTAAAAGCCTCTAGACTAATGGCAATCACATTCTACTGCCATTTTGTGTCTGAATTAAAAGAACATAAAGATGGCTCATCCATGTATTTTACTACCATTGGATAAGTTTCCATAAACTTTATGTGCACATAGTATGTATTTTGTTCTCCAGGCCCAGTAACTATTGATGCAGCATGCACTCGAGTATTGTTGAATGTGCATAGGAAGAATTTGGTTTTGTTTCCCTGTTGAACCATTTTCCACTACTTGAAGGGTTCTTGGGTCTATCATTGTCAATCTGAAACTTAGATGAGATAGTAGTTTCGAAAGTAAAAGTTATAAACTTTATTACAATAAGTATTATGTTGTTAATAGGAAAAGTTGGGATTGCAAATCTTGTTGGTTGATATACTTATATAATGCAAAAAATTTGATAGAGTTCATATACTTAGATGCACATAATGATTTGATCGTAATGGGGGCAACTGGATGTAGGTAGAGGAAATTTTAAAGTTCAAGTGATGCTTATGCAGTTAGCTTTATGGTGCCATAACTATTATTTTCTTGAGAATGTCTAACTCATACTACAAACAAAATAAATTACAAAGGTTGCATATAACATAACTAGAGATCCTAAAAATAGGGCCTTACTAATTATGTAGAAGTTGATGGCCAGAAGAAATAACCTTCCTATAAAAGAAATCAATATATGAGCTTTGCTAAACTTAATGTTCTGCCAAGATATTAATATGGAAATTGGCTACTAGCTGGTTGCACTCCTGAGTAGATAAATTAGCATAAAAAATATTTAGTTTTATATTAATTGAGTATATAAGAAGAGCATAGATAACAAAATCAATTTAGTGCTCAGAACATTTATATCAATAGCATATAAGATTATAAGCAGGCTGAGAGCAACGAAATAACTTAGTTATAAAGAACATGTTTTAAAAATGCATAACAAAAGAAGAGGATATGATCACCCTCTAAAATAACTCTTTTGGCCTAAAACACATAAACTAAGGTAAAAAAAGTTGCAGAAAAGTTTACAATACCATAAGCTAACATCGGATCATAAAGAAGTTTCACTGTTTGGATCAAGTTAATACTAAGTAGAGTGAATATTAAAATAGAAGCGAATTTTAGAGCAGCCAAGAGTCATGTTAAATAGATACAGCTGATCTTCAATCATTTGTTTTTTGTTTCTTTCCAACAAAAGACTCATAATTTTTTATTGCACTACTTACTAGTTCCTTAAATTCATCAAGGATCCTTTGAAGGCAACGGTATGCCTTGGTTGATGAGCATTCTTTCTCTATATAATTATAAAAAAAGGCTAATACTTTTTGCAGAATAAGAAGCTACTATAATACATAATAGCATAGCTTGTAATATGTCTTTTATACTTGGAGTTGAAACTATATAACTAGTGATTTGAGTATCAACATTAGCAATGAACTTTGGCACCAAGATCTGGCTGGTTTTGGAATGAGGCATTTTCAGCATTTTCTTTGAAATAATATGCAATAGTCTATCACTGGTAAGATTCATCACTCTTGGTCTTTCTAGGTTTGAGTTGAGCAATGAACATCTTGGACTTCAATTCTTCATGAATTTTGTTTAAAGGTAGCATTTCATTCTATTTCATCAAAAAGCATAAGTAAAGAATCAATATATCTATGGTATGACTATGTAAATCTTTCCCTATTGATGCTCAATTAAGTAAAAAGAATATGCATCCAAAACTTGTTGAAATAATCGATCCATTGCTTGTATGGCAGTAAATCCGAGCAATGAACTTGTTCACCAAAAACAAATGCTATAAGCGTGTCTCTGTGATAAGTACGGTCAACATTGAAATGGCACCTACACAATAAACATTTTTCCTTGGTTCGGCAGACTGCCTTTCATTACAATGGTTGTAGATATAGATACATTCATAGTCAGTTGATCAAAGTCAAACATTGGCATTTTATACATGTCATTTACCAATACTTTTGCAATATATGCTCAAAAGAAAACATGCATTTCACTCATGAAACCTATAAGAAAAAAAAAAGAGATTAGTTAATCAATCGATGGTAGCTTTTAAAAGAAACTTAGAACAAAGTAAAATAAGAAGGTCAAAAGTAGTAGAAATTGACTTCTTCTGTTGGCATAAATTCTCCAATAGTAGTTAGTTTCTGTTGAAATTCCTAAAATGCCTTAGGGGATTGGTTGCTGTATGGTTTCTCACATATAAGTGCTATTAATTCTTTTTCATCTCTGGTTGCGCTACAAATACAAAATAACGGGGAAGAAGGTAGTTGAATAGTAAATAGCATGTAATAAGTAAAAAACCAAAGTTGCAACCAAATACTGTATATCACTAGTTTTTTTAATAGTCTCGCATCTCTAATCGATGGATCAGAGATAACATTTCTCATTAATCATCCAAACATCCATTCTTAATACTTCTTAGTGAGACAAAAGCTTTGTCCACTACAAATTACAAAAGTAAATAATCCAAATGCTCATTCTTAAGTACATCACCCTAGTACATCACTAACTAGTGTAAAATATAAATCTATCCATTAAGAGATACAAAATGCAGGTCTTAACATCAATATATAACATTAGACCTCCCAAAACACATTAACTCTACTTGGTCATCCTTCAAACTGCAACTCCTGTAAGGAAAACAAAGCTAAAAGGTTGAACTAATGCTCAGTGAGGTTTCCATGCAAGCAATAATCAATAAACACTTAAACCAGATAAGCCAGTAACAAAATTGAGCAATTATGGAACACTTCACTGAATCAAGTAGTGAACACTTCACTAAATAATCACTTTCAAAAGGATACGGTGCTTGCATTAGAGCTACTTCAATGCACTACACACTCCACCGAACTCCTCCTTATAACGTCCAAAACAATAAATATCAGTATCAGTAATCTGCTACTGTGACGCCCCGAAAAAAATGAGTTTGAAAACCCGAAAATTTTCTAATTTTCTAGGGTTTATTTTTTTTAAACGCCCGCCTTTTCTACATTTTCTTGATTAGAAAAATTCCCCAGATAAAGTTTATGAGCAAAAATAGTTTTAAAATGATTTTTCTAGTATCGGTTAGTTTTTGAGAAATTAAAAGCGTATTTTGGACGTGGGACCCGCAAGTGCGGTAAATGCATTATATTTTTGACAACTTGTTGGAATTTTGTATTAAGTGATATTATTTTACAAAGTGTTAAGATATTTGTATTGGAGAGACAAAAAGATAAGATTAAAGCTTGGAGGTGCCAAGTGTCACAAACCCATTGGATATTGAATTTGACCAAGACTTTTCTAACTTTACTAAAACCAATTTGGACCCAATTTTTCTCCCATTTTTCTTGTCATGGCCGGATGTTAAGAGGAGCAAAATAAGAGAGAAAAAACTTCATTTTCTACTCCACTTTCTAGCTTCAATCTTACTCCAATCTACCA